TTTATGTCGACCATATGAAAGTGAGGATTATTCTGAATGTATCGCGCGCCTAATGTTTATTTATTAAACCATAAAGTAAATTTATCATATGGGCTGATATGATTTTTAGTACCTGCGCAAACAAGGTTAAAATCACGTAAAATACTTGCAAGAATACAAGGTTATTGTAGTATAGATGCTCATGCAAGGTCGTTTTCCTCAAGGACTATTTAGCAATTTATGTGAAAACAATTTCCAATTTACTATCTAAAATTAAAAGTTGAAAAAGATGAATATGAAGTTGGTTGATTCTAAAAACAAATTTTAAATAGAAACAAATACGATGAGTTTTGAATATCAATTTATAAAGCACTAGGGTTCCACCATCACCTAGCAATCCTATGAATTTCTACCAATTACTTACGATTTGCACATGCCACTTTGAAGGTTAGGTTTTCCTAATTTATATTATACTTGGAACCTCCAACATAGAACGTATATCTAACATGCAACCCGTCCGGACGTTCGAATCAAATCTGAACATGAAGGACTCATTAAGTTTTGTGAAAACCCTTTGAAAAACCATGCAACCCTTAAGACGTGGTGTTCATCTTAAGTGAAATTACAATTATTAATCACAAGAAGCTAGCGTCAATTTCAGGGAACCTTCCGACCAAAATTGCATCCAATTACTTTTCTAAAGATCCTAATGGTGATCAGGCATTAAGACAATTAGATAGTTTAAAACAGTAATTAACAATTCAAAGTAGGCATGCACTCAATCATAAGCAATTAAATAAAAATCACATATTCATGCTAAGGTTCAAGACTTCACCCTAGAAAAAGAGATTTAGTTACGCATATTCATAATTGAAATCCAAGAAAATATCATTAAGAAGAATAAGAAAGAAAACACCTGAAAGTCGCGAAAATTCAAAACCCTAGTTGCCAATGTACAGCTTTTCTATCCCTACAAGGAAATTAACTAAAATAAAATAATACTAGGAAATAAAGTCCAAATTAGATTAGGAGAATATGCCCAAAATCTGCCCAGCCACATTATGGCCTCAAATATTCTCCAAATCTGGCCCAAGATAGCTTGTTTTAAAGATAAAAATATTCTGAATACTTCTCTAGAAGGCCACGAACCAATCCAAGGTCATCTTGGGCTCCAAAAACGCAATAAAAGCCCAAAACGTCATTATTCCAGCACTGCACATTGCTCCTTCATTTATTCACCAGGAAATCATCGCTTGGTGGAAAAGTCTGATATTTTGATACGATCAAGCTAAGTGACTCACGTACGTCCTTCAACTAAAATTACTCCAAAATTCGTCCATTTGATTATTGCTCCAGAGGAAGTCGGCAGTCCTATATTGGAAATATAATTCAAAGTATCAAAATTCTTCCAAAATATTAAACAAAATATACTAAGAATAGGGTTAAATATATAATATAAAATAGACTCATCATGGGCCAAGTGGGAGAATGTAAGAATATTTCATAAATATTCTATGTGGCCCACATGAAGTGACCTATGTGGTAAATAAATTGTTTAATTGGTTTAATAAATATTATTCATAATAATTATATTGGTCAAATAAAGAAAAGTAGTTTCCTATTTTATTACTGTGATGGGTGGTAATTGATTATGGGCTTCACTAGGAAACGGGTCCTCTCTCGGCCTATAATAGTGCACATACCCATCTTATGTGTACGCTGATGAAGACACGTATTAGGGTTTTTCTAAACGTGCAAAAAGCTAGAGAGAGAAATCTATTTCCTCCAAACTAACGGCTCGCCTGCGGATCGCTCAAGGCAAATATCTTGATATGGTATAAGACTAATCATTCAAGGTATGTTTGTAATTTAAGTCTAATTGAATTTCCGCCTAATGTTATTGTGAAAATCATGAAGTTCAAGATCTTGGGTCATGGATTGGGTTCTTATGGTTTTATCCAATATTAAGTTTACAAAGGTCCTTGCCTTCTTGTGGTGAAAGTTGACGACCCCTGAACCTCAAAATCCTATCTGATGGCCGTTTATGGAAATGGACAGTACTTTCCTTACAGCCCGTACAGGTGTCAACTGCTACATTTCCTTCCTTAATCTCTGTACACATTGAATGTAAGTGACTGGTTAACTCAAAATCATATAACAAAATATCTATAATTTCGCCGATATTTCGGCAAAATTATCTTCCTTCTTTTTTTGCAGCGATATTTTAGCACATTTCCATATATATATCGTCAATTTATCGATAATTTCTTCGATAATTTCGCCGATATTTCAGTAACGATATTTTCGTTCAAGTTGCAGATTTAAATGGACAATATATCGTGATATTATCGATAATATCGCGATATGAACTTACAAAATTAAACTCAGCCTTCAGATGAATCCCTCAGCCTCCGAAACTCAGCCTTTCTCTGTCTCTCAACTCAACTCTTAACTCAACAAAAAAAAAAAAAAAAAAAAAAAAAAAAGAGAGAGCAGAAAGAGGAGAGCGAGAGAGAAGGGAAGAAGAGGAAAAAAAAATTATGGAGTGGGTTTTTATGTTTTGCTGTTTTGGATTGTGATGAAGCGAGAGAGAAGAGGGAAGAGGAAGCAGGGAAAGAGACTGAGAGATAGAAGAAGAAAGAAAAAAAAAGAGGAGAGCGAAAAAGAGAAGGGAAGAAGAGGGAAAAAAGGTATGATATATTTGGAATGTGGTGCTAAGAAAATAATTTCAAACACCGACAAATATGTCAACGAGAACGAGAAATCGAATGACCACTATATGCCTATCCTTTGGTAAATGAAAAATTGTTACCTTCGATTTTTATGAATTCGTAAGAACTAAGCCACTATGTTATGGGCCACGTCAAGGATCACAAAGATGATGATGAAGAATATTAATTGGAGTGGGTTGATGAAACAATTGTTCATCTAAACATTTAGTCTCAACCGTCTAATCTCAACCGTTTAATCACAAAGCTGATGATGAAGAATATACTTCCTTCTTCAGCAAGTATGGGAGAGATTTAATCTCAACCGTTTATTGCAACCATAAAGCATGTATAAATTGAGTCCTTTGTTCATTGGAAGAGCATGTACTTACTGAGAGCTTGAGTGAAATCTTTTTGAGCAATTCTTTGAAAATCTCTTGGTAAGATTTTTGGCCTTTCTCCTAGTTTCATTTCCTTTTTCTGAATATTCTTCAAGGCTGAGATAGTGAGCTTTAGAGAGGGTTTTGAAGCGCTTCAATTTAAGCATAGTGCTCCTATACCATCAAAAGTACATTAAAATTGATCTACGTTACAACGTAACATACGTATACATGTGCATTAATTTGTCAACTTCTAATTACTAACACTAGCTATTCTATGTTTGTACAGGTGATCTTAATCTGCAGAATAGCTATTCTAGGTATGGAGTATTGCTATCCCTTGCTTTGAGTATTGGAATTAACTTGTGCCTCCCTAAAAATGGAAAAGAAATAGATTTCAGTGCTCATAGTGAAAATGCCTCTCCAAGTACCACTAAGAAGGATAAGGGAAAAAGATGGGCAGTTCTAATTGCCGGGTCAAATGGTTACAACTATAGGCATCAGGGCCTCGTTTGGTTCATGGAATGAATTTGAGGGGAAATCATTTCCTATGTTATTCCCCAAGGAATGGGAATGGAAGATTCCTTTCCCATGTTTGGTAATACTGGGAAAGTAACCAGGAAATATCACTTTATTTCCTTTCCCATGTTTGTTTTGAGTAGGAATGGAAAACAAAGTATGTATAAATTTTCAATCATACCCATATTAAATCAAATAAAAAAGAATGCATTGAATGATATATTGTAATTCTAAATTGTTAATGGGGATAAAATGGTCATAAAAAAATATGTATTTAATGTTAGCTCATTTTCCCAAACTTTCCCATGATGAGGGAAAATAAAACTCAAGTTGGAAGGATGGCTTCACTTTCCATCCTACTTTCCCATAAGCCAGGCAACGATTTCCCATACCTAGACTTACCAAACATGGGAAAGCAATTGATTTCTCATTCCCAAGTTTCATTTCCATGAACCAAACGGGGCCCATATTTAAATTTGTCCAAATTTCATCATATATTATTAGCATCAAAGATTGTGTTATGTTACTAATAGTACATTTAATTGTTTTTCCACGCAGGCTAATATATGCCATGCATACCAGATACTGAAGAAAGGTGGACTAAAAGATGAGAACATCATTGTTTTCATGTATGATGACATTGCGCACGCCTCGAAAACCCTCATCATCAACAAGCCAAAGGGTCATGATGTTTACAAAGGAATTCTTGCCATAATTGGGGATTTGATTAATTAAATCAATCTCTCCAAATTAGGGAAGAATAATTCCTTTCCATGTGTGGAATTATTCTTTTGACCTCTGAGGCTCCTATAAATACATGGCTACACACAAGGTTTAAGGTACGTCTGAAACTCTGCAGAAATTCCTTCTCACAAACCCTAGCCACCACTCTTTCTCTCTCTCTCTCTCTCTCTCTCTCTCTCTCTCTCTCTCTCTCTCTCTCTCTCTCTCTCTCTCTCTCTCTCTCTCTCATACAAGGCTTCGACCACCACACATTGCTCCGGCCACCCGATTCTCCACGAGAGAAATCTCTGTATACTTTGTTAGCTACTATTTCTTTTATACACAATCGACCTAACTTAGGCATTGGAGGGCCTTAGGCCAACACCTCATGGATGTGGTCTTTTCACTCCATGTTGTTTTGCAAGGAGAAAGAGAAGCGAAGAGGAAGAAGGGATCTTGAGACGAATATCCTCTAGGGACGAAAATCATTCCCATAATTTGGTGCTTTCATTGAGAGCGCGAGTGAATACTTTACGCGTACTCCAAATCCATTTTCCACACTTTGTTCCAATCAATCATGATTGATACAAGACTAACGAGGGGTATGGCTGCCTCGATATTGCAATCCATGATGGAAACCTTGCTGCAACCACAAGGAACCGCGGTTGCCAGCACCTCGTAGCAACCTCTCATGGTTGCCAATGTAACACAATTGCCTCTCGGAGCCTTACAGCCACTAACAGCCTTTATACAGTTGCTCCTTGCAGCCGCACTACTTTGCCACGCCACTGCACCATTAGAACACATTAGCAGCCGCACCATACGACTATTGGAATTTCAGCACGACCCCATTGCCTCCTCCTTCACCTTGCAACATCAAGAGCCAGGCACCGACACCGCCACCTATGACGGTACCGCCATTCAAGACTACCTCAATGCCATCTCGGGCCACATCTCGGTCTTGGAGCAAATCTATTCACTCCCTCTTTTGCCATCACAATTGACGTATGCATTTGAGTACGCGTCCAATGGAGCCCTAGCCCATGTGCCTTTGGGCCCAATGCACACCACTTTTCCAGATCCACACAGTAAAATGGAACTTAGCTTAGGGGTTGATCAGCCCGTACAAAGGGTTGACAACCAAAACAATTTGATTGGCCGACTACTAGGGCAAATCAACTTGAGTCAGGGCTTTGACCTTGGATCCCAGGACAAGGAGAGGAAGACGCATGGGAATACTGATGCACAGTTCGAGAGGTTCCAGGCACGTAGGACAATGACAAAAGGGCAGGGGAGAGAACAAGAACTTGATGTTCAGCACCCAGGCGAGACACAGACATCTGCAAGCTAACTCGAAGCCGATCGACGATCATTTCGAGATTAGGTCGAAGGACCAATGTGCACAAGAGTCTAAGCCCACAGTCTGATGTCCAAACTCGCTTGGGCCCACAAGGAAGTATCCATTCTAGACTGGGCCCACAAGGAGCTCAAGTTCGTGAACAGTTACGTGACGAATGCAACAACCAACGCTCACCAATGCGCTCAAGAACCAACTCACGACAAGAGCTGTAAAGGAACCCTCACAAGCTCAATCTACTAATTTGCCCTACGGACAAGACAACCAAGGAATCGACCCTTGGAGGCCGAAGAGGAAGTTAACTAGCGGTGTCTGAGGCACCAAAGACGCCAACCCGAGCCACAAACCTTGTAGGCAAAAGATGTCAAGAGGCTTGTGAATGACCAAATCTAAAGTCTCCAACTTAAAGAAAGCACGGAGGAAGCCCTACGCAAGGACGTTGATAAAGTCAACTCCTCGCCCTTCATCGACGAGGTGGAGTAGGCCACACCTCTGAAACAGTTCACAATGTCGTCCATCACACATTTCAAGGGGAACTTTGACCCTGAGAGCCATTTGAAGCACTTCAAGAGTGCTATGATCTTGTACAAAGCAGAAGATGCCCTAATGTGCAAGGTGTTCATGATGACTTTGCTAAGCAACTCAGGAGTGATTCCATACTCTATCGTCCACATTGATTAGTAGCTTCAAGGAGTTTGCCCTCATTTTCACACAAAAAGTACACCTCCTACTGGACATTTAATTTTGTGATGACAAAGTATATAAATTACACTTGTTGATGTAGGTGATTGACTGAGCTGAAAAGACCGCTAGTACACTATTACATGGAGATGACTATGATACTAGACCCATACGTGACTGGACCACACAGGGGGAACCCTCACACCAAACTGAACACTTCCAATAGTAGACTTCACAAGAAATTAATTAGATGGAATGTGGGGAAATTTAATGGTAGATGGGATGGGAGATTGGCTAAAATAAAAAAAAAGTTCATATTCTTAATTGTCCATGAAAAAATTTCAAGGAGCAAAATCAAAGTTAGGAACAAGTTGATGGACCTTCATATTATATTATATTGGATATCAATTTCTTCTTATTAGTGAATCTACTAAGTCATATATATTAAAATTAGCTAGCTTGACTATATTCTATATAGTAAATTGACAGCTTAATAATGTAGGTTCCCAATGCACTCCCATAGGTTAGCTTAGCATGGTACGTACAAACAAAACACTAAATATTTATAAACTTAATGTGGTAGATAAACGCACGAACAAAACATATTCAAATAATTAGTGTAGTGTGAAAAGAAGGACAACCTGCGATGTGGAAAGAAGTATTTTATTTATATATATGAGAAAGAGGGGAAAATATATATTTGAAAAAATGTCTAATCTCAGCCATTAAATGTGATGTATAATATATATTTAGTCTATTAAGAGCATCTCCAGCAGACTCCCTATTCTCTCATCCCTAGCTACTTTGGCTATAAAAAAAAAGAATTTTAAAAATAAATAAATAAATAAATAAAAAAGGAAAATCAACCTTCTAGCAAACTTCCTACTTGGCTCTCTATTTTGGAGAACCAACTTTTGGCTCTCTACATCTAACAAGGAGGAGAGAGAAATGGAGGCTCGCCAAATTGAAGAGAAAGAAAAAGAGAGAGAGAGAGAGAGATTTGGGACGTTGGTGGGGTTGAGTTTCTACTTTTCTTTTTAATATATTTGATTTCCAAGAGAAAGATGGAGCAAGAGAAAGAGAAAATAATAATAAAATATTTTATATTAGCCAAAATAGAGAACATTGCTGGAGGAAACACCTTTTGCTATAATAGCTTTCTAGCTATTTTAGCTAAAATTTGGAGACTCTCCTGAATGCTCTAACACATATAATTAATGAATTGCTCATCATAATAGTCCTTAACACACGTCCTTATTAGAGATGGAGTATTTTTGAAGCATTGACTAATAAAGGAAGACTGACAGATGAAGTAGTAGCTAGCTACGAAACACGCTACTTTTATTGAAGCATTGACTTAATAAAGAAAGACTTCAATTACTCATGATGCTCCAAGGTCAAAAGCCATATGGATATATGTTATTATTATAATATTATTGTAAGCTACATATAGTGTGGCCTAGCAAGTTCTAAGAACTTACGGCCTCATGCTCCAAGGTCAAGAAGACCAAATTAATATAATCATATATTTGATAAAGTTGAATGGTGTGATTGAAGAGATGATACCTCCAAGCTTCCAAGTTAGGTTGGAAGCCAAGTTCAAGTTCAGATGGAAACCAACCCCAAGTCGTTGTTTACACTCAGAGTTGGGATGAAAACCAAAGTCCAAGTAGCGGTGGTAGCAAAACTCCAAGTCCGGATGGAGAGCGAATTACAAATGGCTTTGCAGACTTGTGGTATACACATTAAAATGTAATTAAGTGAAAGTTACAGCCATGAGAGACATGATTAAGTGTGGGTAAGAGCACGAAACATCTCGTGCAAATGCATATCCAATAGCCAATATTAAAGGTGAGCTGACGTCATCGCTGACGTCAACTAGCTGTTAAGATATTTTTTTTAAATAGCCTTTTTAAATGTTATCAACATATACGTGTCGTATATGGAATATTGTCTCTAAATAGTAGTTTAATTAATTAAACACTACATAGTTGTTGAATGTATAAGTGTTGTACCATAGTTTTTTCTCAAAATAATAAAATATGAAGGACCTTCAAATATAGATCTGCATGGCTGGAGATGGAAAAATTTAGCTCTACACTATTCTTTAAAAAATTAATATTTTGGAGGGCTAAATTTATAGCCATGTACTACATTTAGCCCTATGACTGGAGATGGCCTTATGTCACTCTAACATTGATGGGATTCTCAACTAAGTCAGAAGCTCCGAGTGCACGATGTCTCACCAGAAGTTGGATCATACACTCAGAAGTCCAAACCCAACACAAGAAGCTAAGTTCAGAAGTTCCAGCAAAAGTCTCCTTGCAAGTGGTGGAATCCAAAGATGGGAAGACTCATAGCCAACCTACCAGGACTTATTGTATCCCAGCTCAAGAGAAGAGTTTCACAATCACAAATTTCATTTTATTGACCAACCATATGGGTTGGTGGTGGTTGGGAAGTTCTCATTAAATGCTTAGAGCTCCGAAAGACATTAATATTGGAAGGAGTTTCAAGGAAGAGTTAGTTCTAGCCATTTAATGGCCAAACCCGTTAGCTAAAGAAAGTTCTATAAATAGGTCATTAGAAGAAGAAAAGAGGACTTCCAACTCAACACACAAAACCTATCTTTTTATTCTGCACCTTTCAATTCCTAGTCAAGGATTTTATCTTTCAAGCACTTTAGATTATCCAAGTTCTTCATTTTCCTAGTGTAAGCTTACTTTCTTGCAATTTACTTTCAATTGTCTTTAAATTTAAGTTTAATTCAAGTCTTTATCATTTTAATCTATTTTATCGCATCTACATTACTGTCATTTCGTTCTTGCATTTACATTCATTGCACTTATCACCAAAATCCTAAAAATAGTCATACAAAGCTCAATCATCATTGACCACGAGGAAGTGAAAGAAACTAGGCCAAGAGGAGGTTCCTTGCTTGGCCGATCAATCGTTTGATTAGAAGTCAGAAGCGCAAACACACTCACACAATCTTTCCATCCAAGTCATCAAGTGACTTGATAATGGCACACCTATGCATCTCAACAGAAGGACCAAAAAATCATCCTTTGGCATACTTGGCCAAAAAGAGGGAAAGTCTTCATTAATGGTTTTATATTAAGGATCAGTTAAAAATGTCTAATCTCAGCCAAATAATTAGTGTAGTGTGAAAAGAAGGACAACCTACGATGTGGAAAAAATTATTTTATTAATATATATGAGAAAGAGGGAAATATATATATATATATATATGAAAAAATGTCTAATCTCAACCATTAAATGTCATGTATAGTATATATTTGAAAAAATATATATTTAATCCACTAACTCATATATCTAATGAATTGCTCATCTTAAAACCATCTCCAACCATGTTGGGGCTAAACTCAAATTTCCACCCTTCAAAATACAACTATTCATGTATTTTCATGACTCAAAAAAATTTTTCCTCAAACCTTGCAGACTCATAATTTGAGTCCGCAACTTTATTAAATTGTTTAAGAATGATTAACCTTTTTTTTTTTCTTGTTAATTTTTCTTGACATTATTTTTGTTTCAATACTCATGATTTAATTTTCTAAACATTTTAACCTAAAAAAATTAAAATTCCAAAACATAATAGAATTTCACTTTTTTTTAAAAAAAGCATAACATTTATTTGAAAAAGTAGCCATTGGCCATCAATTTCAAACATGGGAATCTGCTTTTCCCACTTGTCCATCAATTCCAGCGGGCCCAGCATCAATTGTCCATCACATGGGCTTCCAGCATTCAATAAGAAAAATACAAATTTAAGCAGATTTTGGGCCCACGAATTTATCAGTTTCTAAACCCCACTTGCAACTTATAATTCATTATTCATTACAAGGATCAAGACCATAACTTAAACTTTAAAGTCAGTAGTTGTACGATGCTTGATTTTTCTAGTTCACGTGAACCTAGAAAATTAAAAGCAGGTGACTTGGGTTGGGTTGAAATGACTGACAGATGAAATAGTAGCTAGCCATACGAAACACGCTACTCTTATTGAAGCATTGACTTATAAAGAAAGACTTCAATTAATAATTCAAGCATTGATTTCATGATTTCCCTTCTATAAACACTGACGATTAACTTACCAGTACTCATCATCTACCTAAAACTTGCAGTACCTGTATCTGTAAATCTCTCCTTGTAATTGGTTTTTCATCCAAATGCAAATGGGAAAGGGCACCCTTTTTACCAGCGGCTGGTTTCTTTTGCGGAAGATAACCTGCAGAGTGAGCAGAGTAAGAGGTTTCCATGGAGTATGCGATGGCTCATCATCAAATGGGAGGAAAGCTTCGCTGTCACTGATAGAAGACCTGGAGATGGGCAATAATGTTCCGAAAGAGCGAGATAGTAGGTCTATATGCATTTACAAGGTTCCGAACGCCATGCGCCAGATGAAGAGTAAGGCGTACGAGCCCAACATTGTCTCCATTGGTCCTTATCACCATGGAGTAGCAAGCTTGCAAGAAATGGAAAAGGTTAAACGAATATATTTTCGGCGCCTCTTTAAACCAAACACCGATGATGATAGCGTGCTTTCGGTGAAGGAGAAGGCGGAGATGATGCAATTACTAGATGATGCGAAGAAGGCAATGCAGGAATTGGAGGAGAAAGCGCGGAGCTGCTACTCAGAAGAATCCGAGCTAAGTAGCGAGGAATTTGTGAAGATGATGCTAATGGATGGCTGTTTCATCATAGGCTTTCTAAGAGATGCCTCGCAGCAGGGCTTTGAGCATACACCTTCCACCGTTGAAAGGTGGATGTTGCCAACCATCCGACAGGATTTGATCAAACTTGAAAATCAGCTCCCGCTGTTTGTTCTTCGCAGATTATACGATAAGCTGATCATCACAAAAACCTCTAGTAGTGCTTCAGATCATCAGCAACCCAGATCTTCAGACTTGGAAGCGCTTTCGATTCGCTTCTTCAAGCCACTACTACAAGGACGTGTAGATCCTGATAAACCTTTACAACATTTTGTACCAAAACATGAGGGACAAGGCAAGCACTTTCTTGATCTTTTCCACCATAATATTTGTCCTGAACATAATGAAAAAGAAGTCGATACTCTCCCACGCACAGATGTAAAAGACAATCTAAAGCCACAAGAGAAGCAAACCTTTTGGCGCAAACATCTAAAGCCACAAAGGAAGCTGCCCCTTTCGCGCAAAGATCTAGAGCGACAACGGAAGCAGATCCTTTGGAACAAAGATCTCAAGCCACAAGGGAAGCAGACCCAGCTAATCCTCTCCATACGGGAGCTGAAAGAGGCTGGAGTTAAGTTCAAGAGTAACAAGAAACCTTGTCGGCCACTAGATATCAGTTTCAGCCGTGGAACCTTCGACATTAGGAGGAGGGTACTTACAATCCCTGCAATACATATTAATGATCGTAGAGCCACTTTGTTCCGCAACATGCTTGCATTTGAGAAATGCCACCGGTATTGCCAGCACCAAGATGTTACAACATATTTGTTTTTTCTTGACGGCCTCATCAACTCCGCCAAGGATGTCGGGCTTCTGCACTACCACGGCATCCTCTTCCACTCTCTAGGCAGCAACAGAAGAGTGGCTAAACTTGTCAACAACCTTTGCAAGGAAGTCGGTTCGGACATGTCCCAGTCCTACTTATACGAGGTGGTTCGCGATGTCGATGCTTACTATAATAGTAGATATGCAAAAGTAAGAGCCTTCCTGGTGCACCACCATTTTAGTAGCTGGTTAGTTGGCATCTCAACCCTTGGTGCATGCTTAGCTCTTTACCTCGCCGTCGTTCAGACCGTCTGTACAGTTGCCACTGCGAAAAAAGAATTGGGAAGCGACTTCAGTTTAGGATCCTTTCTCATAGATTCTTTACTTCCTAAACATGTATCTGGGGGAACAGATTCTAAGCCTTCTTAGGTTAGATTATTTTACAAGTGACATTTTTTTAATTAATTAATCACGAGAGAATTCGAGATTGAGATGTCTATTAGCATTGAAAAGACAAATACAAGGAATTTCAGCCCACAATCAATTCTCCTCCAGAATGGGAGAGGGCAGCAGTTACAGAATAATAACAAGTCTCAACCCTTATTTATGTTCAATGATGCCAGTGCTGATGACATCTTATATATGTAGATTGAAACGATTACACATGATATCTCCTTGATTGATGACACTAGGGACGTGGGCCATAAGGTGCTCCACCAGTAGATGGAGTTTCTCTCGGATCATCCTCATCCCGACCGGCACTCAAAATTCGGGAAGACCGCTGCTTGTCCCAATGGCACTTGATTTTCCTACACCCATATTCACTGGTAACTGCTACATTCGCTTCCTTGCTTTCTGCACACATTCAATATCACTGATGAGAAATAATTGACTTCATACTTACCATTGCACATTTTAATATCAACAGTCCCAAGTTTTATTTTTTCCTTGTTGAATAAAATATATATAATATGTTAGTATAATTTTAGAGCATCTTCAACAACCTCTTCAACAATATTGAAATTCTAAAATAGGTGAGCCACATTAGAAAAGCTCGCTTCAACAACGTCTTCAACCTCAGTCATTAAAGCTGTAACCTCTTTCTCTCTCTTCAGGACTGGTAAGTTGACTATGGCTCTTCAAACATTTAATTTTACTTTGGAAAAACAAAACCTACCTTGAAAATGTTAAAAACATGCATTTTTTTTTCTTTTCATATAATAAATACAAAGACATTTTTCACATGTTTTCATATTTTTCATTCTTTTCTATGATATTGCATTAATCAAATTGAAGAGTATGTTGGAGCAAAAATTATTGACGTAGCAAATAAGGCTTTTCAAATTGCTACGTAGGTCAACAAACTATTTAAAGAGTTTTATTTGCTACTACAGTTGGAGATGCTCTTAGTATCCAAGTTAAATTTGGGATGCCTCACTGTCCTAACCAATTGGCCTAACCCACGTCTGTGAGCCCCAAGTCAATTTTAAAGTACTTGTTCCCACAAAAATAGTAGCCAATGTCATTATGGTAGTGGTGAAGAAGAGAAGGGTTCTTAAAAGTACTTGTTCCGACACTATTGGAAACCGAATTGTCAAAATACACCGCAAAATTGAAGCTACCGAAAATTTACAAAAGCTGAAAAGTACAAATACTGCTCAAAACTACCAAAACTTTTTGATCAAATTGGTTCGGTACCAATTCAAACTGGCCGAATGGGAAACCTAACCCGACACTTAGAGGCATTACGTCCATGGTATGATGCATCAATAATTTATATATGATTTTCTTTTCTGATGACTTTCACAGAAATACCACGCAAAACAAACCTCAATCATCCATGATAAAAGAGCGATGCTGATTCAACAAGGTTGCAACAATATTAGTTAAGCAATGGATACCTGTTATTAGGGCGTGTGTTTCTGCCAGAGAGTAAGCCAAGCCAAGCAGTAGGATGACAAACAGTAATGCAGAGACTGCTACACCAAAGAGCTTGGCCATTGATAATGTAAAAGAAAAAAAGAAAAAGCTACGGTTTGTGCATGGGATGGCTTCCTGGCACATTATATAGAGGAGGAGGACCTCTCTCTCTCTCCCTCTCAACTAACCAGGAAGAGTCTATGTTGACCATCAATTCCATGAAATAGACTAAATCAGAGGAAGAGATTTATTTTGCCGCCAATATAGATTCTGATTATTACTTGAATATTTCAACTCTTTATGCAACTCGTAACGGCTTAAGAGAGAGAGAGAGGAGATCGAGTTTTTGTCAAGTTGCCAGATGCATTATCAAATATATGCATTAATTACCGTCAACTTTCGGGAAATTTCATTGCACCTTCGACTTTGACTTTTATGCAATTTTGTTATGATATGTTGATTTGTTGGTAATAGGTCTTGCATAATGACAAAGGATCTTGATTTGCAAATTAGTCTAAGATTCATCATTGAACTTGACTGGGCTAGCTCGACCGTAAAAGTTCGAGCTTGGGCTGGGTTCGGGTTAGGTTGTTAGGGCCTACGCATTTTATGGGCAATCCTTTAGTAAAAGACTGATTACTCTAATAAGTAAATCTTATATCTATGTTGAGAAGTAAGACATCATCTTCGCTTGCCAACAATGAAAAAGAATAGAATATCTGCCAGAAAACACTCTAATTGGTTTTCCCGTGTTTATCTTTTCTAAAATTTTCCATTGATTTGTCATTCAAATTCATGTTAGCAAATCAACCCTTAAAATTAGCTAGTCCACCTCTTTAACAATTTATTTCTCCGCTCTTGGATCCATTTACATTTTTCTCGCCTTTCATTTTTATTTCTCATTTTTTTGGCACTGATCCATTCTCCATTAATTTTTCCTGGAAGGTAAGAAATGCAAATATTAAAAAATGAGTGAGGCAGAGTGCTAAATAACTGCATATCTCCATATCCTTCCTTTCCTTCTAAGGCCTCTGTCCGGGTGCTCCCTTCCCTTTGCCCTTTCTGCATGGCCTATATTTGACCACGAATTCAAAGAAATACGAACCCAAACCAAAATGCATGTGTAAAGATGACTCTGTAACTAAACACATGGGCACGACCAGAACATTAATCAACTCTGATATCATGCAATCCGCACGTGCCCCATTCGTTTGGCGACTTAGGTTTGTGAGTTAGTCATATGTTCTCATGTATAAGTCATCTTGTTCTCATTTGTATAAGTCATTTTATTCTCATTTTGTAGGGTGTGCCGTCTGCATTTGGTAAGAGAGAAAACTCCCTCTTTTCTTTGGGCGGAGGTCAACCATTTGAGAGAGCCATAAGCATCTCAGGTGAAGGAAGTACCGTTGGAAATTTTATTATTATTTCATTATATTTCTATTTCTAATGAATGGAAAAAAAAAAAAAAAAAAAAAAAAAAAAAAGTCGTTTGTCTTAGTATTTGTTTTGCACTTGGTTAATTATCCTTTAAAGTGCAGTTATTAATAATTATACGATGGGATTCAAATGATGAAGTGGTCTCATTTGCATAGAGTTGTGTCTGTAATCTGTAACTTTTCAAATGAAAAGGTACTTTTGTTTCAACAAGAGGTATAATGAGTTTTATATAAACCAAACACCCTCACTGACTTAAAAAAAGAAGAGAGTTCATACCCGTGAAAAACAAAGAGTATTCCCCAGTACTCTATTGTTAAATTCTTCCTAATTTTGTCTTGAGAGCACAAATATATAACTGGTTCGTCAAAGTCTTAAATTGAAGTGCTTCAATTTAGGATTATCGATTTTTGAATCATGAGAGCACAAGGGTAGGGGCGAAATCTGTCTTTAGGACATTGCAATTCTTGCAAGCCTCAATCGCTAAAGTTGTAAGTATTTCTATTTGTATTTGTTGAATTACATGAATTTGCATAGGCTAATTGGCCTGAATTAGGAGACGGCCTCAGGACTAGGAACTTGTGGGATAAGGACAATTTGTGTGGAGTTCAATGGTTTAGGGATGGCTTGGCCAGTGAAGAAATCAGCAGTGAATCCCTAAATATCATTGTGAATAATTCCCCAGTACTTGTGATAAAAGGTCCCATGGAAACCATCTGGTCCTGGAGCCTTAGTGGCCCCCATTTAAAAAGCAACTTCTTTAATCTCTTCAACAATAATGGGCCTGATCAATTCTTTGTTTACCTCTTTAATCACCACTAGGTCAACAAAATCCAGGATGGAATTCCACTCTCTGCTCCCATTGGATGTTGTAAGCGCTAAAACTACACAGATAGTGATAAGACCAACTTATAGGTGATATGGACGGTCGAGGGACCGAATGTGCCTTCAGTAAGCACTTTCCTCTTAGGTTGGCAATGCAGGATATGGGCCAAAGAGAGAAAACAACATATGAGACCTAAGGTACTGGTGTGGTATTGGCCGAAGGCACCAGTGTGGTACCAGCCGAAGGCCTTCCAATTCTAAAGTTAACTTAAGGGGAGGAGAGCAAGTTATCCACAATGCAAAGGCATAAGTGTCAATTAGAAAGTCTTACCATGTATCTCGGGTGAGGAGCTCTATTTATAGGGAGTTTTGGGTGTTCTCTTGGTACTTAGTTTCAATGTGGGGCTCATGGGAATGCCTTCCGAGGCTAACACGCATCCCAGCAAATATCCTAACGGGGAACTCGAGAACGTCCTGTAATATGCCTTTTAAGGCGTTGAATTGGCAAGCCGTGCCGAACGCACTTGTCGGCCGTGGGCCAGTTAGTGAACAATCTGCTGATGGAGCTGGAGGCGCCTGCAGTTTGTAGGACTAGACTTGCCAGCATGGGTTATAGGGCCATGTTAGGCGTAGAATCAATCGTGGGTGCCGAATGCATCTACTGATTCGAACGATTAGGCTCGCCACCGCAGGTAGGGGTGGCAATTTCGGACACGACCCGATACACGACTCGAAACCCGCACGAGAAATTAGCGGGTTCAACCTGCACGATAAAAAAACAGGTCAATTTCGGGTCAACCCGTTCTGACTCGTTTAATAAACGGGTGGATTTCGGGTCAACCCGCTATAATACCTATCTAACCCTTTTATTAAAGGGGTCGTGTCAACACGTGTACAACCCGCTAACCCGCTAAAAAATAAAGACCAATGGAGACTTCAACACACACACAAGGGGTTTTGAACCCCTACCACTCTCATTTCTCTCAAACATCTTATCCACCATAATACAAACAACTTTGTGATTTTATGGTATGTCTTTTGATATTTATAATGTTTCTTTTTCTTTTGTGTTTTCCTTTCTTTTCCATCTCTCTTCTCCTCTTCTTTTTTTTTCTTTCTTTTCCTTCTTTCTTCTTTCTCCTCTCTCTCTCTTTTTTTTTCCTCTCTCTTTTCCTTTCTTCTTCTCTCCTTTTTTTTTCTTTCTTTTCCTTCTCTTTAGTTTTCTCTCATCTCCCTTTTTTCTTTCTTTCTTTCCTTCAATCTTCTCTCCTATCTCTCTCTCTCTATTTTGTTTTTCTTTCTTTTCCTTCTCTCTTCTCTCCTCTCTCTATCTTTTTTTTCTTTCTTTTCCTTATATTTTCTCTACTCTCTCTATTTTTTTTAATTTAAATTTTTTCGGTTGTGAGTTTTGTAACATGCATGTTATTATTTATGAACCCGTTACACGACTCGAAACCCGCACAATAAAAGACGGCCCGAACTTGACACGACACGTTTATTAAATAGGTTGGGTTCAGGTTGAGCATTCTTGACACGTTTATTATCCCGACACGACACGACCCATTGCCAGCCCTAACCGCAGGCCATGAGGCCTTCCTTAGTATCATACCCCATCCACGTGTAATGGCATGAGAGGTGGGTCAGATATGGTACAAATATATGTAAATAACTCTTTTAAATACATCTCAAAAACCCTGTGAACTCCCTTCTGCTCATGCTCCCAATTGTCGTTCTCACCTTTTATTCTTGTGATCTTGTTTTGACTCCTTCTTTAGATAGTCTCATGGTGAAAGAAAGAGGTGTTGAAGTCCCCATTGTCCAGCCATTTGACTCAAGATAGCTGCTACTAGTAGCACTCTTCTTTTCTTCAAAGGTCATTCAACTTGGTCTTGATACGAGAGATATACTCATCATTCTCCTCCCAACTACGCTGCATGAGGTTTAGTTAATCCACCAGGCTATCAATTTCAATCTTGTTACTCTTGAATTTTCTTTTACTTCATTTAGTAAGTTGGGTTTGGCAAGTATCCATATTCTTCCACCATTTCAACATCCATGGACCGTTGAGGCTATTACCCCAGCACCTCTCAATGACTTCTCTACATTCTATATCATCCACCCATGAGGATTCAAACTTAAATTTCCTTTTACCATATTTACCTTTTTGTGTTGTTGAAATAAAAATAGGGCAATGATCCGAACCAATTACTGGACAATGCAGAACCATGGTGTTTGGCCAACAAGCTTTCCAAGCTGTATTCACTAGTCACCGGTCAATTCTTTCTTCCACAAAGTGGGTGTTCCTCATGCCTCTCCATGTAAAGCTTGGTCCACTAAACCCCATATCAATTAGCGTGGACTTAGTGGCAAATCAAGAAGATATCGGGGTCTTTAGTGGGAAATAGCATCCCCCCTAGCTTTTCAAAACACAAGGAGTCGGCGCTTTTCTCACTTGTTTAGTAAAGTCAAGTTTTTGCCTTTATCTTGCATGTGACAATGACGTCGAGTTGATGGCAGGGATGGCAAAAATTGGTGCTTCTCCCAGGAAATCATTGAAAACCTTGAGACCAACCTAGTGTGAAACCTATGAAATCGGGCAATAAGGTTAGAGGTTCCACTACTTTCTCATTACTTGTCTTTCCTTCTTATGAAGTATCGTTCGACTATTTTCAAGAGGAGTCTCACTCTCTTTCAGGTTCTTTATCAAGCAAGGGGAGCAAGGATCCCTCAGTGGCAATAGGATAAAGGGGAATTCTGAAACTAGTGTCCATGAGGGTATGTAACTGGTGTTTTTTTCTTTAGTTGACGAATTTACCCTTGTGACTTGAATTTCTACATAATGGTCAAATAATATGCATGATGTGAGTGTGACAAAATGGACGTTTGTGAATCTCTCCTGCTCTATGATAGTTAAGGGAAGTAGCGAGATTCTGATTCCTTCGTGGGCAAACAAGTTTAGTTAAGGCAGAAACTCTGGTTGCTTTGAGTTCCCTCATTGGGATCAAACCGACCGGCATAGAGCGAACAACCTACTTTAAGTAAATCTGTTGCTGGTCACTAGGAGCACGGAGCTGCGATCCCAACCAACCCCAAAAAGCCAGTTTTTGCTCTCTATAGGGTGTGCCATAAATCCATGACGCTCTGAAACAAGAACCATCATTTAGAATTTGCATCTTTGTATCAATCAAGTTTTCGGAACTAAAGACAACGTCAACATTTACGGAATCATCTCATAAAAGGCTTAGCCTACCTGCTAATTCCATTTGGCAACATTGTAACCATTTTGGAAGCCCATTCCGTGCCTAACATGATCAATTCTACTGCTTTGCATTTTTGTTTCCATTAAAAACACAGCAGAGGGTCAATTCTACTACTCTTTTATAAATCCATGAAGGGCTTAAACTGTCAGGTCAGACCCTAGGCCCTAACAATTCCAAATGAGGTAAATCATGGCTCTCATGAGGCTGTTTCAGGCCAGCCGCCACTGCCTTAGGAGTCTCCTCCCACTTAATCAGTTACTTGTTGTATCACCTTCCTCCAGTCTTCAGTTTCTGTAACCTTTACCTCCTGAAGACTATCCTCCAAAAAGAGATTTCTTCTCAAGGCTTGACCCATTCTACAATTTGCACTTCCATAAGACTTGACTTTCCTTTCTTTTGATCACCCCGAGAGTTCTTCACGTTGGGAACACTTTGCCTTCTTATAAGGAGATTTGAAGTTGCAAACCTCTTCTATCTCAGCACTTCTTTTGAGTCTCATGCTAGTAAACATTTTGTTTATCTAGCCCACCAGTATAAGGGAGTTATGCTTTGGCTGAGGTCTAGATGGATTTGCCAACTGAGGATCCAACTAGAGATCTCGTCTAATAGGCCCATCATCAATTCTGTCTTTTCTGTGGCATGGGCCTGATCTGGTCCAATCAATTATAAAATAGGCAACTTTTGTTATTTGGGCCTTCAGTAGTCCCATTCTCTCTTTTTCTGAAATGGGCATAGTTCTTCCTGCATGCCAAACAAACTTGGAGGGCTATTTAATTTCCACTAGGGTTATCCTGTTGTCCCAAGATCTAGTTTGTTTCTCCTTTATTCTAAACTGCCATTAGTGCTTGGCTCGAGGCATTTACTAAGTTGCTCAAAACTAGCTGTTCAGTCACGTCTCCTCGAACTAAGTTACATTGTCAGTCCCATCTGTTAGCTACGGCTGGATTCTTGGGCCGCGTGTCATGAAAGGATTGTTCATCTCATTGGTTTGACCTCTTCTTTCAATTACAATCTCCTCATTGGGCTCACTTGTTTCGTGCACACGCCATCTACATCCATTGGTTCTTCTCTGGTTTGGCGTTGTCGCTGCCCTTCTCTCACCTTGCGGCACCGATATTGGTTTGGGTTGTTCATATTGCTCTCTGATAACCCTAGCTCTCGTCCAGGTACCATATCCCGCAACTCCCTCCTCCGCCTTCTCCTATGAGCACTCGATGTTGCTGTGCCCCAGTCTTCCACAATTATAACATAAATCAAAGAGACATTCGTGCTACAGTTCTACCAAGTTTTTTAGCCGTCAACACTGGAGAACCATAAACCAGCTGGAAAAGGCTTTGTGGTGTTTATTTCTGCTCTGAGGCTTATGAAGCCTCTAGCTTGGTTGGGGTTCTCATACTCAATCAGACAGCTTGGCAAGAGTTCGAAGAAGCAAAAATCACATGGATAAGAAAGAACCTGTTTGCTATTACTGTCCAAGATAAGGACATGTTTGGGAAGATTTTGGAGCGAGGCCCATGGTATGTCATGCATCAATGTTTCTTGGTTAAAAGATGGCCATTGGCGTTTGTGTTGGAAGAAATTAATACCCGTCTTGTTCCTTTTTGGGTACAAGTTCTAGGAATTCCCTTGAATCTATGCATGAAGGATAATGTTGTTTGGTGGCTTAATATTGTGGAGTTAGTCCTTTGTTTCTGTATATTCGACCATCTCCAATCATAGGACTGAATGTAGTTCAAGGCTATAAATTTAGCCCTCCAAAATATTAATTTTTTAAAGAATAGTGTAGGGTTAATTTTTCCGTCTCTAGTCATCTAGGACTATATTTTAGGGCCCTTCATATTTTATTATTTTGAGAAAAACTATGGTACAACACTCATACATTCCACAACTATGTATTGTTTAATTTAATTGAACTACTATTTAGAGACAATATTTCATATTGACACGTGTACGTTGATAAACATTTAACAAGATTTTTGATAAGATTTTGTGTCCACGTGGCACGTCTTATCTTGAAGGAATCTTAATAATTTTTTAGAATTGATTTTCAAGTGACACGTGTCGGTCCGGGAGCAACTATCCAAATTTTCAATTAAATTTTTGTTGATGTGGCACCTCTCATCTTCATCTTCAAATGTCAATAAATGAAGTGTTTTCGATTCAATATCTCACAACTTCATTTCCTTCCTTTGTAAATGGAAGGATTGATGATGCCTCTGTGTATTTTTGTGAGATGTGTTCCTAAAGCCCAGTGCTTTTTCGGTTTGTACCCACAACGCTATCTTCGAAGACTTTTATGAAAGCCTTGCAAAGATGTTCATCTTCCACTCGTGACCAATTTTGTCCCTTCAAAGTCGGGGACATTTTTCAAACAATAAAAAAGTAAGTAAAGAAAATAAATTTATAGGAAATGTTTGGATGAAATGAGCGTGGAAAATATTTATAAAAAAAAGAAAGAGTGTGGGAAGTTGTGAATAAGTAGAGAATGTGATAGAATTTGTAAGAAATGTAGAATGAATTGAGTGGGAAATTTTTGAAGAAATTTTGAGGTATTTATAGACATATTTTAGGTTTTAAATTTTTTATAATAATAATAATAAAGCCAACAAAGGCGACTTAAAAAATTAAAAAAAAGCTATGTTTCAATGGTTCTAACCTCTTACGGCCATAACCAATTTTTTATATATATTTTTTAAACAAAACAAATTTAAAATAGGTTTAAAAAAAAAATTTAAGTAACTTTTCAATTAATGGTTCTGACCTCCAATGGTCATAAACTAATAATATATATATATATTAAATAAAATGAATTTTAAAATATTTAAAAAGTTATTAAAAAAAACCTAACGGCTAGTTAACGTCAGCACGCGTTTAATATTGGTTGTTGGATCTACAGTTATACAAGTTGTTTCATACTCTTGCCCACACGTGATACTTTATATTCTTGGAAAAAATTTGACCTATGCCAAAATTGGGCTACAAATGGCCAAGTTGGAAGGTTAAAGGGCCAAATGTAGCTCTCTAAATTTGACCAAATTTTTTTTTACATTATTTTACGACTATATTTGACCTATGACTCACGATGGCCTTAGTCATGTTATTTTAAGACTACAAGTGATCTGGTTAGAGGGTTAAGGGGCCAAATATGGCTTCTTGTGTGTGCGGGGACAAAATTGGAGAAATAGAGCTGCAGACAAGGAAGGAACCATGCCTCCTCATGCCGCTTTTATTTTGGCCACAGTATTCCATCGTGATAGAACCTCACATATTCTGACAAAAGAAAAAAAATAAAGCCTCACGCATTTACGGCTTTTTGGTATTGTCTCTATTTTGTCATTCTGATATAGCCTCACGCATTAACAGCTTTTGCTTCTTTTCTTTTTTTCTGTTTTCCAAATTGACATTTACAGCAATTTTTTTTAGCAGTAGACCAAGAAGCACAGCTCCTCATTCTTCCCAAAAAAATTCTAGCCTACATTATTATCATGGACGCAAAGTTTTTAAAAATAAAAAACACAAAGATTAAAAGGGAAAATTTTAAAAATATCCAAACCCATAATTACCACTATAATAATAACCTCATGAACAGCATAAAAATTGATCAAAAATTAAATAAAAAATAAAAAATTTGGTTGGGTTGCTAATTAAGTGGCAGAAGAAGAGTTCTGGCTATCTCATGGAGAATGGAGGGGAAACAGAGGCAATAGCTCAGGAGGCTCAGAGCCTCTGGGTGTACTTAGCGGAGGACTTGGGTGCAAATAGAACCCCTTCTCAGCAATGGCCCTATCTTCATCTTCACATGGTGACGCGGGCGTCCTCGGGCTCCCACGTGCGAGAAAGTCCAATGTCGAAACGGGTGAAACCATCACCATCTCGTGATGGCTCCCAAAACCTACAAACCCTCTGGGCCTACCGTGGGGCCCACATGAGGCGGATGGGCTCGCCGTGTTGAGGTTGAGCTCTAGCTTCTTGGTGGCGTGCCTGCGCTCGTGGAGCTTGAAAGCGGGTCGCCGGGGCCCCATTTCGGTGGCGGTGGTGGGCTTTGGGTTGGAATAGCGTGCTGGGAGGGTGAGAGGGAGCTTTTGGGCTGATGGGTCTTCGGGTGCTCCGGTCAGCTTCTGGACCACGGCCCTGAAAGTTGCCGGGTCGGCTTGGACGTATGTGGTGTTGGGTGAAACCGGGTCGGGTCCGCAAGCGGGCGTGTTCATGGTGGAAGAGCCAAAGAGGTTTTCTTCTCAGAGAAAAGATGAGAAACAAAGCGGGAAGAGAAATGTGGGGTTTTTATTCTTGTTTAGAGAGAGAGAGAGAGAGAGAGAGATGGGTTTTTTTTCTGTTTGGGTTTGCTTTTGAATTATTTTGTACTGTATGAGATTTTTTTCTGGTTTTTTTCCTCTGTGTGTTGTTTGCTTTATAGGGTGATGTGAGGTGGAAATGTCAGAAATACGGCGAAAGGCAGAGTCAGAATCCAAAATATAAGTTTATTTATTTCTTATGAATTAGGCAGAGAGAGAGAGAGAGAATCCCACTGTTTATTTTCTATCTATTTTCCAGCATTCCGCGTTTTCACTTTATGGGCTCAAAAGAAAGTCAAGCACTTTGTGTACGTTTTTGAAACTTCAACTGAACTTTCCCATTAAGTGAAGCAGAAGCATAACATACATAACCCTGATGTGATCAATTCATAATTAGCACCAAGAAAACTTGACTTAGCAATAATTAAGAGCAATAATAACTGTGTGGTCTGGTAAATCACTGTTTAAAAAAGTTCAAAAGTGCTTTTGAACTTTTGAAAATGGGAGGAGGAGAAAAGATGGTAAATAATAATCATGGTGTAGCTGGCATTGAATGATGAGTCGTGGAGGTCAGCTGGGCATTGAAACAAGAAACGAGGATGCGAGACGACTTCACAGTCTGACTCTGCAGAAAAGCTTTTTTCCATTTTTCTTGGATTTTAATTGGATTCTGTGGATATTATTGACCTAGTTGTAAATTTTCTTTCTGTTTTGGTCTCTGTTATTTCTTGGTTGTTTGCGTGAGGGGATTGCACTTTGACAAAGTTGGCAGTGAAAGTTTGCTTCAGCTTTCTGCTCTCTCATTTTAAGGTCTATCTCTTTTTGGCTTGGCTTGGCTTGGGTTGGTTTCGTCGTAATTTCTTTACTTCACTCTTCTTCTTCATCATCATCTTCTTCTCCCCTATGTGGTGGGTTGCTTTGCTTTGCTGTGATGGTTTTGTTTTGTGTGCTTTTTGACATTTGTAGTTTCGTGCTTCATTGGAAGTCTTCCCTTTTTCCTTTCTCACCCACCTACTCATTTGAGCTATTCCTCTCCTAAGTTTTACTTTTTGTTTTTTATATCAAGTATGAAATTGTTAGGAACAAAACCGAAGATCGATTGAAATGTAAAACGGGGTATAATTCAGAGACTATTGCTACAATTTAACCTATATGTTATTAGTTAGTGTCATCCACGTCATGATTCCTATGAAACTTTATTATTGTTAAAATTATAAGCTTACATGCTTCTAATGTGTTACATATTTTGTGAGCAAATTTAATGAACAAATTGGATGAAGGTGACACCAATATTGTATCATAGTGATGACTTTTCTATTTTGTATGATTACAAAAACAATTACTCAGTATATGATGATGACCATGATCATTATTAGTTAAAGTGTGAATTTGCCTCATAGTAAATCTGCTAAAATTCACACTGCTCTTTTCTTTGGAATAAAAACTCAATATAAGACGTCAGATATCCCAATGTAAACGCGCTAAACAGTAAACATAGTACATTGGCGATAACTAACTTTGAGTTCTTCTACCACCATTGATATTTTAATGAACTTTTTTTTAGTAACAATATTTAGCGTCCATGTAACAATGGAGTGCTAACTACATCTCCTTCTCATCCTGTAATGTGGTCAAATTATTGAGTCGTCCATTTGTTAGGTCATTCATCAAGCATAATGCTCGAAAAGTAAATCAATCATGTTGAAAATTGTTTAGTCATTTGATTAACATTGTCAAAACTCTAGTATTGAAACATCATATTCGTCTATTTGTCTAATAATAGTTAGATTGCTAAACCATTTCTGATTTGGTTGGCTTTTATTGTAGATCTTTAAAAGACAGCCTTAAAAATAAATGATTCGATCATCAAACCACATTGCAGGATGAGAAGGAGAATAGAGAAAATGGAAGGGTTCCGCAATAAAAATGGTACTAAAAACGAATAGTATATGTGCATAAGTTAGTGGAAGTGTGACTTTAAAGTAGTTCATTTGTGATTGTGGGTTACAACGATTAACCTCAGAATTATTAATAACTATTAATTAGACCAAAACAAGAAATAGCATTTTAGCTTTCGTAAGTTCATTTGACAACCAAAAAATGGGCTGATTCTCCGCCTTTAAGCATCCATTCTTTCTGTACAATCTAGCTACTAATTTAAGCTATATGCCTATGATGTCAATGGATTGGATTGGCATTTGATTGTTTATAACCCCTCTATCTCTCAATTCAATTCATATTTTTTTTAGGTAAAACACAAAAAGAAAAGAAGAAAAATTAGGGAGGGATAGTGGCATCTCATGATTAGAGTAGGATGGATGCCATAAATTACTTTAGCTAAATCTAATTAAACCAAAGCTTCAATTCAAATGAAAACAAGATGTCTTGTGTTTCCTAAAATTCCCATTAAAATGTCCCCACCCACCATTCATTTGCTGAAGTTACCTATTATCTTAATAACAACCGACCACGTGTCTAGATTATGGCCGTTGATGAATTGATCGAACGGTGGAGATTTGATGAGGGGACTTTGAGTTTGATCCTCCTCAATTTCCAAAGAACAATATACATATACAGAATACATTATCCTTTTACATTAGTTAAAAAGTCACTAATCATATGTCATCTGTTTGGATTCCCAGAAAGCATGGTTGATGCTTGCCAGGGGAACAATTTAATCATATGAGCCATGTGTAAATTGTAATTGATGGGTTGAAAACAATATCATTGCAAAGTGGACTGTGAACTAAGAAATGTTGAGTGGGTTGGTACTAACCAAAGGTAATTTATTTATTGGTTTGGTCTTGCCAAGCAACCCACTTGATTAAAGTGATTATTCGAAACATGCATACATAATAATTAAATTAGTGGTTGTTACCCGAGAAAAATTAAGGGTTTGTTTGGGATTGCTTTTGTAATATTTAAAATGCGATTATGACAAAATTGGCATAAATGTTTTCTTGAGAAGCGCAGGCTAAGTGCTAAGCATTTTCAATAAAAATTTCGATGTGCTTCCAATAAAAGCATTTCTAGCAAAAACGTTTATAAGCACAAGTGATTCCAACAAAAACAGTCCCAGAGTCATTAAGTAAATAAAATTGGACTAGAATTCATTTTCAACAGTGGACTATTATGAATCAGTGCTTTGAGGATAAGGCAACATCAGGGTGCAAGAATTCTACAGTGAGGTCCTCATCTAAGAGCCTTAGATTAGGCCCTCACTATAGAATGACTCCAGAGGGTGTTGACCAAAAAAAAGGCAAGTACTGTTGTGGACTATAAATCATGTTACCGGGATATAAGGGCTTTTATATGTCTTGGTCCAAGAACAAGGGAGGGTTATAAAAACCTAATTCTTAACACTAAATCCAACTCACTTGTCTAACAATTTGGAATCAGATATTGCGAATGTTCACAAGCAAGACCAATTGCCAATCTAAAAAGCAGAGCATGAGAAATTGATGTTGGCAATGTCAAGATTGAAGTGCCTCTTTTTGGGGTGTAAATTTTCTGTATATATCACAGTACTGTAGTAATTCTTTAATAGGAAACACTGAAAGCAGTTCACCAATTTGATACCAAACAATCAAGATCTTCAGTTGAGCAACTATCACATTATTTCTTTGAAGCCAAACTATGGCATTATTACCATACTAGTAGGAAGCATCAGATGGCTTTGAGCAAATCAAATTGCCGAAAGCGCCAACTAATAGGGACTTGCAGAAACATATCAATAGATGAACTATGCATTGACAAGTGCAGAAGGTCAGGAGCAAGACATTCCAACTTTTGGTCCTTTCGTGCTGGTGCCAACAAAGATTTGATCCTCGTGCCAAAACAGTCAGAGTTAGTGATTATTTTGCTCCCGTATTATTCTATGGAAGGAACTCTGCACGAGGAGAAAAACCATCATCATCCCAAGAACTAAACAACAAAGAAAAAAGAAAAACTTAAAGGAAAAAAAAAAAAAAAAAAAAAAAAAAAAAAAAAAAAAAGAAAGAGGAGTACATCAAAGTGAAAGATCAGCTAAGTCGAAAGTTCTTGAAATAGCCTTGAACCATGAATCCAACTTCTTCTTCCTCAACCCTTCATCTAATTTTGGATGGAAGGTGGTGGCAACCTTAGCCCTTTCTTCACCAGCAAAAATCTCCTTTTCGGTCCAAATGCCAACAGCTAATCCAGCAGCATAGGCTGCTCCAAGAGCTGTTGTCTCAATGTCAGCTGGTCTTAGCACTGGGCTCCCCAACAGATCCGCCTACAGAACAACAATAACAAGAGAACAGCATAGAGTTATAACAACAGAAATGGTCTTCTACAAAATTGTTAAAAAGAAAAGGTAGGAAAGGTGTGAAAATAAATAAAAAATTTGCAATCAAATTGAGTGGAAGACACTTTACTAAAGGCTATCCATTTCTAATACAAAAGAAAATGTAACACTTCCTGTAAGAAACTTGCAGTACTGCATGTTTGCAGGGCAAGTAGTACTAATATCTATGTATAGTTCTTTGAGGAAAGCTGAGGATGGTTTGTTGTTGTTACAGGAATAAAGGGAAAGGATTGATAATGTGCCTCATATCAATAATACCATAATACAAATACATGGTAGACTGTTTATTGATAGTTTCAAATTCCATCCCAAATAGTCTCCTTCAAGGACCCAGTTTTTAGTTGAGACATGCAAAGCTAGAAGATGCATAAGCAAATAGTTCATTAGATAAAACCTCACCACAATCTGGCAAGTTTTCACATACTAGAGAAAAGGTCAAACATATATTTTCCTGGTTAGATTACACAACTAACGCTCACTTTGACACGTGAACAACATACCTAAGAGGATGCCATGGAAAGCACAGCTGTAAATCATAGAAAGTTACAAGAACATATATCACTATGGATGACTCAAAAACTAAAGAGAGAACTCAGAGAAGACTTATAGATTATGAACAGAAAAACAAAAATGAAAAGGAGGTAAAGTTGATAAAAATTGAGCCACACAGTGCAAATTAGAGCAACAAAAGAAAAAGAACAATGCCCAAACCTGAATCTGCATTAGAAGGGTATTAACAGTAGCACCACCATCCACTCTGAGCAGGAACTCCCCCTTCTCATTCTTAACCTCTCCCTTCTCTCCAGCATCTTTGTGCATTGAATCCAACACATCTTTCACCTGGAAGGCCATACTCTCAAGCACTGCTCTACAAATGTGAGCCTTGTTTGTAAACCTTGTAATACCAATGCAAACCCCACGAGCATCATCACGCCACCACGGAGCAAATAATCCATTAAAGGCAGGCACAAAATAAACCCCACCAGTGGACTCAACCTGTAATGCCAAATCCTCGATCTCTTTTGCGCTCTTAATAATCCCAAGACTGTCTCTAAGCCACTGAACTGCAGCTCCAGCAATAGCAATTGATCCCTCTATGGCATAGTTTGTAGGAGCTTTAGGGCCAAGTTTGAATGCCACAGTGCTTAGAAGCCCATGCGTTGACCGAATTATCTCCTCACCCGTGTTGAGAAGTATGAAAGCACCCGTCCCATATGTGCTTTTGGCCTCTCCTCTCCTGCAAGCTTGCCCTAACATTGCTGCATGTTGATCACCAAGACATCCAGAAATTGGGACTCCAGTAATTGGCCATCCCGTGGTAATTTTTCCAATAATCTCAGAGTTACTGACAATTTTGGGAAGAAATTCAGCTGGAATTCCTAAGGTTTTCAATGTAGGATTATCCCACTCAAGGGTCTTCAGGTTCATAAGCATTGTCCGTGATGCATTTGAGACATCAGTAACATGTATCCCTCCCTTGACACCACCAGTTAAATTCCAGATTAACCAAGTGTCTATAGTTCCAAAGAGAGCATCCCCTGATTTCACAGCCTCTTTCACTTTATCCACATTTTCCAGCAACCAGAGCAACTTCAACGCACTGAAGTAGGTGCTTATGGGCAACCCACATGTTTCCAAAAAATGAGTTCTTCCCCCAGATAATTCTTTCTCCAATTTTCTGTAAGAAAATAACCAGAAAATTTACAATCATAACGCAACTCCAAAATCGCACATGATGATAATAACAGGCAAATAGAAATTTGAAAAAAAACAAAACATGGTAACAATCCCGACATGAAAACCCAATTTACCATAAATACTCCATCAAATGGGCATTGATCAAAATTCGAAAACAAAGGAAATCCAGCTACCATTCAAATCATCCAAGAAGGGGTATTGATAAATAAATAAATAAATAAAACACAAAAACAAATCATTAGCAGGAAAATCAGTGCAGAATTACATATCTTAATAATCAATATTCCTACCTTGACCAAAAAAACACTATCAACCATATTCATCCAAATCCAAAAATAACAAAATCCCAATTCAGGATCAATAAATTCAATCTATGAATATGTATGAGAAATCACAAACTGAGCAATTGAAGATCCTGATTTCAAATATACAAAATCCTAAACAAAACAAACAATGAAACAGTACCTGCAAATAGAGCTAGTACGTACATCCATCCAAACAATAGCATTGTAGAGAGGACAGCCAGTGGATTTGCTCCAAACCAGAGTCGTCTCTCTCTGATTAGTCAACCCAATAGCCTTCAGCCCACTGTCCACGTTGTACCCATCAGCCGTGGCTTTGTCCAGCGCCTTAGCCATGCACACTCTCACACTCTCCAGTATCTCCATTGCATCATGCTCAACCCATCTAACCACAACACACAAAAACAACAGAGACAACAACAAAAATCTAAATTAGAGGAAAAAAAAGGAGAAAGAAAAAAGAGAAGAAAGGTGGAGTCTTTGATTGATTGCTTACCCTGCTTCAGGGTAAAACTGAGTGAACTCGACCTGGTGAGAGCCAATTGGGCGCGCCGAACGATCATAGATTATGAATCTGGTGCTGGTGGTTCCTTGGTCAATCGACCCAACGAACACATCATCTGTTTTCTTTGAGGCTTCTGGTTTCTTCGACATTTTTGTTTCTTGTCTTGAAGATCCAAACTTTTTGTTCTGGTTTCTGAAGAGAGAGAGAGAGAGAGAGAGAAACAGAGGAAGAAAAGACTGACAAAATTGTATTAAGTAGGAGTGGTTCTTGGAATTGTGGACAATGTTTATCCAATCACCAAAATAGAAATGCAAACAAAATACCAAATTGGTCAAACTCAGAAATTTCAAAGGCCAAATTTATCCAATACCAAATTGTTTTAAGGATTAGTTATATATTTTTAATTTCAATTGTTTGATTACATTTATTATATGTATTGGTAGATTTAATATGTATATACATCTAATTCAACAGTCGATATTAGAAATATGTAATCAATTCTTACCATATTATTTATTAAAAAATCTCATTTTTATTGGATAAGATTGACAATTAATCCAAATATTTGAATTTTTTCTGAATTTGATTAATGGGGTTTTATGGAAATAAATTTAAGTCACACTTTTTAAATTATTTTCTAGGGACATAATTTTGTTAGTTTTTGGTTGGGAATTTAGTACAAAGTCCTTTGTTGGCGGAGAGAGTGAGGTTTTTGAGGCCTTGCACTTTAAGTTTGTGATGTAATTTCTCCGGAGTTCTTGGTTCGCTGAACAACTTTGGGCGCCATTTATTGCCACGTGGCAACTTTTTTATGAGGTTCTCTCTCTCCGTTTGACTTGGTGCACTGCCTCCTCGTGCATGTTCTCACGGGGGACATGCTGATGATGCAACTTTGAATTCAACGGTCGCTACATGCTGTAACTGAAATTACTTTATTACCCCTCTCTCACAAAATGATTTACTAACATAGGCTTGCAACAAGTCGAGGATTAACAGTGGTTGATGTATGTGAGATGAAATGAAAATGTTTTATGTATCTCATACACCATGTCACATGTTAATTTTGCATATTAATTCGTAATTTGGATAGTACTACATGCACAACGTATGATCCAACTAATTTAGTAATATTTCATTATTATTATTATTCAGTCTTGATCTTTTGAACTAAAAAGATCTACGAGATTTGTAGTTACTCACCTTTGAATTAACATCCAATAGTTGAAAAAAGTTTCTTAAAATAAGTGTAAGAGTGAGTGAACCGTTAAATTTACATGTGAGTGACTATAAATCTCTTGGACCTCTGTAATCCAAGAGATTGGGACTGTATTATTATTATATGAGTTTATTAAGGACTTCATTTATTCACATCAAACAAAAAAAACAAAAGTTATATAATGTATCACTTTTCTTAAGTATAGATCTATTTTTGCATGTATTTAATATAAAACGCTGCCACAATTGAACTAATCACAATTAGATATCAAATTCTTTAAAAACATATAGCGTCTTCGCATCTGCGCGAGTTAAACCGAAAACCTCCAACCAAGTATACACAACTACCAGTAGATTAAAGATTAATGATTTGAAAGTCACCCAACTGACTGCTCTATTATTTGTGGATAAAGTCAAGGAAACAAGTGTCAGATGATGAAATGATGTTGAACTTTGACTTGACATTATGTGATCTATTCCAATTGATGGAGGAAACTACTTTTTGAGAGGCATTTAAGATGGTGTTTCAAATCAAATCCAAGTTGGCTAACGACCAAATACTAGAAAATTAGGAATGAGCAGCTTAGCAACATTCCCATAAAATTTGATAAGTCTTACCTGTGCTGCCAACAATGTCTTTTTATGAGTTGTTTAGTTCTGTCTAATATGATCCTCTTTTCTTTTGTGAAATCCTCTTTTTCAGTTTAAGGTAGACTAGTCATTAGATGTTGACAGAGTTTTCAGAAGAAAAAAGAGAGGAAATTAAAGGGGCCAAATTAGTTGTCGATTCTATCTCAATATGCACATCTCTACATTTATTGGATTTCTTATTTTCCAATTTTTAAAAAAGTAGAATTGCGTTAGGTCTATCTATACTTTAGACTTTATAGTATAATATTGATAAATATACACGTGTTATAATATGAGTGAATCTAAATAAATTGCAGTTTGTCTCACGTTGCACCCACTTGTACTGCTCTATCTCTCTCTCTCCCCCAGGGTAAATCGATAACATTGGACTAAAAAGGGAGATAAAAAATACGAAGGAGATTACAAGTCAGCAGTAAGCATATTCTCCTTAAGCTTCCCCAACAAATATTAAACCCAAGAAACAAGCACAAAGTTATTTGAAGTTAAAGCAATAAAAAAAAATGAAATTGTTATCTTCACCATAATCACTATCACTAAGCAAATCCTAATTAATATCACCACTCCATAAAATAAGAGAGAGATTCCAAATGATTTATATTTCTCTGCAGCTACTTTGTAATTACATGCCAACTTGTGCAGCACACAATAGTTGTCTTTCATAGAGCAAAGATGCCGATTGCCGAATATATATATATATATATATATATATTGTTATTGTTGCGTAGGACGTAATTTCATGTCCATATCATCCAACTATTTTGTCACATAAAATTGCAATGTATAGTATTAGCTGTCAAGGAATTTTTGGCATTTTATGTTGGGGCTTATCTTCCTTTGTTGTGTGGTTAACTTTTCCCACAAGAAAGTGTAGAGGGTCAAGTCATAGTGATTGATAATAGAAATGTTTGACAAAAAAGGAATAAAAAAGAAGTTAAGTTAGAAAGAGTTTTGGGTTTTCTTTTGTCAATGTAAACCTTTGGGTCAAGCCCAATGTTTTGTAATAGGCCCAACATTTACAACATTTTTAGCATTCAAAAGGATTAATCGTTTTATTAGTCCTTGAATTTAGACCCGATTTTACATTTGAGTACCTCAATTTCCAAAATGATTCTCGTGATCCTTTAACTTTAGTTTCGTTAGGACAAATGGTTCTGCCTTCAATTTTGTTAACTTTTCTGTTAAATGCAGGGACAAAATGGTATTTTTGTATAAAAATTGATTAAAATATGAATAAAAATTTTAAAAAAAAAGCTAAAAAATTAACCCTCTCTCTCCCCGACTATCCTGATTTCTACTCCCCCCATTTTTTTTTGGGGTTAGTTTTTTATTTGATTTTCTTTTATTGTTATTTTAAAGATATGATTTTTTATTTTTTATTGTTTTAATATAAAAATTCCATTTTGCCCCCTGCATTTGACAAAAAAAAATTAACAAAATTGACGGCAGGACCATTTGTCCAAACGAAACTAAAGTTAAAGGACCACGAGAACCATTTTGGAAATTAAGGTACTCAAATGCAAATTGGGTCAAAGTTCAGGGACCAATAAAAGGATTACTTTAATCTAATTTAAACAACGTGGAGAGAGATTCGAATTTGGGTGCAAAGTGGGGAGCACATCGGCTCTAGCCAACTTGACTAAACTAAAAGGGGGAGAGGTTTTCTCACACACACACTACCAATGAGCCTTGGGGGTTCGAACTCCACTGATCTGCAAATCAATGTCCTTTTCTATTGAACTAAACCTCATTGAATCCAAAACTAAAATGCAGTTTTTTTTCCTCAATGTGCTAAAATCTAAATGCATAAAATACCAAAGGAAAACATATACATGTATCTGTACTAGTCTATAATTTCTTCTAGAGCATAGGTGATGAAGATTATAACCCCATTCTTTCAACAAGTCGAAACGTCAATTCTAAGATAATATTAGTTTTGTGAGAATTTGAACTTTGAGAATCCATATACGAGATTTATTTTCGATGTTTGGTATAAACTAGTTTTTACATGAAATTTGAGAATGAAAAACCCAAGAGCCCTATTGGGTTTGTCATCCGTCTATATATTCCAAAAAGTTTTATAAATAATGAATCTTCAGCATTTTCGAACAGGGAAATGAGAATCCCTCATTCATTTTGATTCTTCTTTAAAGGAATGAAAATGACATTTCCAAAACAAAACGAAATTTGAGAAACAAATATTTGCCTAAAATTGACCTGTTTGAAAGCATTCTTAGGATGAACATCCTCTGTAGGAAAAGCAAAATATCTTCCATGAGAAAGAGATAGAGTTGATGTGATTTTTTTTTTTCCTTCAAGCTTGTTTGAATTTTTTAATTTAGTCCACTAATACACGTGCTTTGCACTCGTATTAAAATTTTACGATTCTCAGGAAATTTTCAATTTGATAATTTATTGCTCAGAGGAATTCTCAGGAAATTTTGTTTCTTTCATGCCTGGATAAGCCTTCCCTAGTAAGTACACATCCTTTGCCAGATTTGGATAATTATGTGATCAAAATCTGAAAGTTTAATTATTGTTATTTTTAACTTCCATGTTACAAACGCAATGCACATATGTGTTCATTTCTCTTTTTACAGGATCATGTCACGTGATTAGAGAGATAGAGATAAAGATATGGTTGCCCATAGTACTACTTATTAATAGCTTCAGCCTCACAAAGTCCCACTTAGCTCGCTATATGGGAAAAAAAAATTTCTTTTATGTAATTTAGTCCACAATCCACCATGCCCTTATGTAGACAAAATTTTGAGTCCGCCACAGATGAGGGAGTTTACCTGAGATGTGTTTGGAGAAACTTTTCCTAGACTACAATCAATATTGTATAAGAGCACTTCTACCAATTTGTCATGACAAATGGCAAGGCAAGGCAATGACTGTTACTATTCACGTGAATAGTGGCAGCATTTGCAAAAGGCTTGTGGTGTTTCCATCCATTGCCATGCAATCCAAGGACAACCACTATTTATATGAGATATGATAAGAGGAATTTGTATAGAGTTTTGGTGTGGGAAGTGAAGAATATGACACGGTATTTATTAAAAAAATTATGAAATTTTTATTATTATTTTTTATTTATAATTTTTTTTTCGTTGCTAACATCAGCAAACCTATGTTATTCTTGCCTTCTGGCCTACCCAAGCTTGTGGAGCCCACCAGCTGTCCAGGCTGTTGAAGTCCACTAGAATATCAAACTGGGGCTTGGGCCCCCTGTGGCCCGGGCTGGGGGGCACTGCTGCAAGTGCTCTAATGGATCTCTCATGAT